AAATAATTTTAAAATTAGTATATATATATATATATATATATATACAATTAATTTGTTTAATGAAAGTTTGTAACTCATTTTTTTTAGAAACATTCATATTCGAAACGTATAAATACATGTTTTTCATCTATGGGTATTTACCATGTTAAATAATTTACTAAATATATTAAATTCACTTCACAATTGTTTTCTCTTCAATTTCAAAAGTTTCGATCCATCAAACGTAGCAACTTTTATAACAGTTAACCCAACTTTTTTAAGAAACTCCGCGTACGTGAAAAAGTTTAATACTATGAGTTTTACAAACATGAAAATAAAAGTTTACATACTGGTAATTGCGTAATTTCAAATAATTTGCTCTCACAATTTAACCTTAAAAAATTTTATCCAATTTTATATTCGAATTAAAATAATACTACGTACAATTTTGCTGGTATTTATGAGAAGAAAAAAAACATTGTATGAAATACTTTCATTATTTAAAATATAAATTCCTTTACTTATCTATAATTTAACCTTCACACAATTACATATAAATTCGAACGAAATTTAAATTGTATCAAACTTATTCGTTATTATCATATTATACGTATCATGCAAAATTTATAACCTTAAAAAAAAAAGAACTACTCAGGCTGCATATAACATGCAAAGAAATAAAATATTCAAAGTGGGAAATAATATATTCGAAGAATAAAGCAAATCTTCCTCCATTTTTTCAATCGTATTCATAAATTTAAATATAATATTTAAATATGTTGAATATTGAAATATATAAAAATATATAAAAATATATTGGATTCCGTTTCCACAGTTCGGCTGTTATTAATTATCGTTACGACCCATATCGTTTAACGTAACAGACATCGATATGCCAAATTATCGATACATTCGAGGAATCGCATGCACGTCGGAGGAGCGCGTCGTCGTTGCATTACAAATCAGCCACGTTAATCATATCCAGTGCATAGAGATGGTATTATTATATAATGACATAAACTGTTTACCATTTGTCGAAGCCACAGATGTTTCGCAAAGCTGGTACAAAACCACGCGAAATCCGCGAAGCCCGTACACGAAATGGAAACGAGTCCATTATTATCGAATATCTTCGATAACTCGCTGCTAATGGTTATTTTCTATCTTTGCATGATATAATATGATAATTAAAATAAATTATATTAAATGATATTATAATTTACACAGAATGTATAATATATTCTCTTTAATTTTGTGAGGAAGCGTAAATGTAAAAATCTTTTTTCGGTTTCGGTCATAAATGAATATCGATCGATATAACTATGCTAGTGACTTTTAATGTCCCTAGACATTAAAGAATACATATAATTGTAAAATCTTCGTATAATGCTTCGTCCACTTTTCGATTATTCGATTCTTTAATTGTTTAATTGAAAATGAATATCAATTGTTATTCTATCTTTCTTCTTTTTTTAACTATATCATTCGATTACATGTATAATTGAAAAATCAATGTAACAGTCGTTTTCCACATCGCCTTAAGCTCTTTTCACATTGTCCAGTTTTCGTTATTCGATTTTTTTTATTTTCCGATTGAAAATGAATATCGATTATCGATAATCTTATTATTCTATTTTTATTTTTCCTTTTTTTTTTTACTATTATATTTTCAATTACACAGTAATCGACACAGTGGCGTGGAAAAAAAAACGAGCATCGTTAGTAAATAATTCCCTTCTTTAATTCATTGTTCCTCTTAATAATTCATTATCGTTGTATTTTTAGTTTAAGAGTAATTATCCGTGTTAATTATCGATGTTAAAAAGTTGAAAATACTTATCTTGGGTACACTTCGAGTATTTCGGATACTCGAATTTCTGCAATATTTCCTCTTTTTCGACGTGTCATTATTATTTCCATCGTTCTCACAGTCGATCATAAAAATCCCTCTATTCATCAAATGGCACTGCATAATCGCGATTCAAATTGCGAGAGACATTGAGGATCGCGTTTGAATATTAATTATTCACGCCACTTTGATATGTTTTTATTTCTTTATCCATTCATGCGTTACATTCAATGCGTCAAAGAAAACGCAATGGAATTTTGGGGGAAAAAGAAACACCTTTTCACCATGTACGAATCTTTGGAATAGAAGAAAAAGTTATTAATCTTTTGAAATTATTAGAATTTACTTTTTTAAAAAACGTGGAGACGACAAGTTTCGCGAAATCCTACGATATCGAATATAAAATTATCAATAATTAAAATTTTATAATTTGATCGAATAACAATTTTTACAAATAACATTAGAACAAATTATCTCGTTATACAAGATTTTTCACAAACTCAATTGGAATAATTACATTGTAGGTTCAACCATTGTTAAAAATTATTTCAAATTATTTCAAACGTGTCATAGGATTATACGGACTAATTTCAAGGTTACAAAATTTTATCTGAAAAATAATTTAAAAAATTGTTTATCGCCTGCAAAAATATTGGATTAATATTTATCCGGTATAATATAAAATATCATATAATATATAATATAATACAAGAGGGACGAACGAGAGTTAATCCGGACGTTTCTATCAGTGGCTCTTCCGCGGAAAACTGTCGAGGTTGTCGGTGAAAAAACCACAGAAAGCTAAACGAACCACGTGTTCCAAATAATCCAATTATTTCCCGACTAAATATAAGCTACATATGGACTTCAAGCCGGCAGGAACAATCTGACGGGGAATTAAAGCGTGTTACCCACCAGAAAATCCGATATATTCCGCGAGAATGTCTGTAATTAATGGTATTCGACTAACGAATCGAACGATTTCGAATCGAGCTATTTCTTTCCCGTGATACGGTAACCAATTCGATTGAATTTAATATTCGGATGAAATATACGAATGGATTGTGATATGATGGATATATGATGGACGTATAATAGATATTGGAATTATCGAAACGAATAATTCTGTATTGGAATGATTATTCGACATTTTTATTCTATCTTTTGTTTGATATATTATTTTAAATTATGTAATTGAAATAATTATTACTCGACTCGGATAAATTATTTTATTTTTACGAACGGTTTAATATATAAAAATGAAAAATTTTTTGATAATTAATTAAACTCATAGAATTTGTTTGCAATGCAAATGTGATTGATAAAGGTGAAAAATAATTAATTTTTTTTTTTTTTTTTTTTTTTTAAAATCCAATATACCGTTCTATTATTCTAAGAGATTGAATTGAATGTAACACATAAATGTTTCTTTTCTTGAACAATTGTGAAATTAAAAAAAAATTCACTGAAAAATATAGAAAATTGAAAATGATTATGTTATATTTGCATATTTATGTATATTTATGCATTGGCGATTAAATTATATATAGTATATAAAAATAATTTGTAAACTACAATTAAATTAGAGATAATTAATCTACGGATAATTTTTACTCTACTTAAAAACTTATATTCAAATGAATTTTTAAACAGCGATATGAAATATCGGAAATGCGTTCAAAACAACTGACGATGATTAATCATTTTTGCAATATCAAAATTGCGGAATTTTCTAGAAAAAATTTTATATTGAAAACAATTTATTAAATTACAAATTGCTTTGCAAATTTAAATTTTAAATATATTTTAAATACGATTTTACGAAAAGTAAAAATACAAAAAATAATGATGATTGTAACAAAAACATTAAAATGTTATAAAATACTAAAAATTATTATTTATAAATTTATACATTCATTTGAAAAATTATTAAATTTTTAAATTCACGCAATTTTTACATATTGCATTCTAGCATCATTATTTTCATATTAAACTCGAAATATATTCCTTTTTAACGTTTCATACCGTGTGTATAATACATTATTTATGAAACTCATATTCTTTGTACTCAAAGAAGCATCCGATACAACGTCTCGTCCACCTTTGATGTGCCTATTTTACTGAATTTTTTGCTCACACTATCGCTTAGCAATAACCAGAACCAAATCTTTTGCTGACAGGATATAACTATCCTACTTTTTTAAACTGAAAATAAAACAATTCTACGTTAATAATTAAACTTTATACATACGTGAAATCACAACTTTTCATTCTAGATTCTATTCGAATGGAAAATAATAAAATTATTGGATATTATAAATTTCGGACCCTTTTTATACAATATAAAATAAATATAAAAAATATAAATGTAATAATTGGAAGTCTGAAAATTAGTGAATCACGTACAAATAATTTTGAGATATTCATCAATTATAAATTGAATATGTAAATTTTAATATTATATTGACTTTAAATTTTAACTAATATGTTACAGAGATAATGATTAGACTATTTTTTGAAATTTTCTAATAAGTATGACACACATAACACTATCTAATTTCAAAATTTGAAAAGATTTAGAAACGTCTTGTCTTATATCTTGTTGATAACTAATTTGGTCTTGATCAAAGAAAAGTAAAATTAATTTTCTGGGATAAATGAGAATCAAAAAATAATAGACAATATTCAATCAGCCAATTATAATATAAGACTTTTATGGTTAAAGTTTATAATGATTATTGCATTGATAATTTGAATATATATAATATTAATGAATATTGATTTAAATGAAAAATCATTTTGTTCCTTCTTTAAAACTTTATAATAAGAATCTCACTAGTACTACCTCTTTTAATTTTTTACCTAACAATTAATATATTATAAGATAAAAATGATAAAATATCTTACAGTACCTATAATATTTATTCATTATACGATCACTATTTTCACAGAATATCCTCAAGAATCATTCTACTATTTCTCGAATCCAAATAACACGAAATAATAAACACAGGAAACATTATACGTAACTTATACATGTCTCTAAATGTTTGTTTTCAACTTCTCTTCGTCTTTCACTATCTATCACTATCTACATTCATACATGTATCTACATTCATACATACATCGTAATACATGCTTGTCGTAAGTACCAGCAAAAATGAAATAAGATTAAATTAGGTTAGGTTGATAATATGTCAATTTTGATAATAAGGTTATAAATAATGTAAATGTGATCATATTATAATCGCGATAAGAATTTATGGAACGATCTAACAATTCTAAATAATATCCAGATACATTAAAGTAAGAAGAAGAAAAGGAACACGATAAAGAAGCCTCACCTCCGCTAAAGGTATCATTGTTGTCGGACTGCAATGTTGCACTCGTTTCGGACAAGGGCGACGGAGTTGGCCTTAAATCCGAGGGTGGTTCCAATCTCAGTAAATCACTTCCGCCATCTCCACCGCCCCCATTTCCTTTCCCGACCTGTACAATCGTCAGAGGTCCCCGGTTACCTGTCGTAAAACAGAGAAACCACAATGAGGCCGTACACTAAGAAATACGTAACTGGATATTTGAAACGAGCCGGATGCTCGCAGGTGGCGTTACTGCCGCTCCCGCTTAATTCCTCGGTAAAAGTATCTCGCTCGACTCGAAGTAAATAGGAATTCGTCTTAATTCGCTATTCGATATATCGCGCTAAATTTGAAGACAATTATTTTCGCGGGAAATTATAAAATAATTAGAGGCTATAATTTTAATCGATTGCGGCAGCAATAATTAATCACTATAGCATTACTAGATTAAAAATACAGTTATTAATGAACATAATATGTATATAAAATGCTTGTATTATTAGTAACCAACATTTTTTCTTGTAAAAAATAAGTATTAAAATAAAATATAAAGAAAAAGATTTTATAATATCCTTTGATCAATATAAAAACGTATGTCAATTTTTTTATATATATTTTATATAATTTATATAATTTTTGCGATATCTTTTTTAATATTTTTTATATTATAATTGTATGTAATAAAAAAAATTCATTTATATGTTATATAACAAATATTATTATTTCCAGTTTTCATTATATTTTTTATGAATTATTATAAAAGTATAATAATTATTATAAAAATATAATAGTTCATAAATGTAACTTAAAGTATTATAAATTTACGTATTTGTTTAAGTAAGTTGTTAATATTTAATAATTCAATTCTAACAAAGCTAGTTACTAATTGCCAGTTAATAATAAAAACTAGAAAAAAACTTGGAAAAAAATTGTCTTTGCCTCCTTTCTCAAACCTCTCTACCCAGATTTCTCTAGATATTTTCAGTCCTTTGTCTCTCTACTTTCAAAGTGCAGCCTTCGAGGTACTTTACATTATACATGTGATGTCCAGGCTCAAGCAGATGCAAACCGATTTTCTCTCAGACTCTTCTTTCTCGATATTTTCTTTACCTTTGTTGTATGCTTTTCCTCTCGTCCTTTTTCTCAAAGTCCTATTTCTTCTCTGAACACTGAGTCTTTTTGAAACTTATCAGGTACATTCAACGTTGCCATATCAATGTTGATTTTCTCAAAATGATAACAATATTATTTTAATAGATAGATAATACTTAACACGAGATTAAAAATTTACTTTATTTTAAAAAATTTTAAAATCTAATTGAATTTCTGTTATGATGTATAATGATAAAGTGATTCAAAAAAATATTAAATAAATTTTTGAAAGTGTTTCCAATACTGTTTTAAAATATTTGGAATCTTAATGGATTAAAAACTTCAAATTTTCTTGTTGATCGATTTATCAGTTTCGATTTTGACAATGTGAGATTATAATTATTGAGAGAAATAAGATTATGAACGAGGGAATAGGTTTCTCGGGAACGTAGCTAAGTGGTAATTAACCTTCGTTTTACCGAGCCTCAAATAACTCGTGCCAACGTAAAACCCACTTAATCCTTCAACCACCCCTTCTTTCTAATTTGATAAATTATCAAAATTATTCATGCGTGATAATAATATTGAATAGAAAAAAAAAATTATGGAATTTCTTGTAGAAGACATTTCTTTGGTATTTCAAAGACATTTAATAACCATTAAATAACCACAATGGTCTTGGATACTTGTTAATTATTATTTTAATAATTATTTATTATTCAAAAATATAGTATTCGCAAGGGTTGATTATTATGATTTTTTAAACAACTTTCAAGCAAACAAAACAAAATTTACAATGAATGGATAGATAGTTTTGCAATAATAAATAAATAAAAATATAAATTTCTACCAATTTAAAGATGGAACAATAATTTATAAATAACAAATTAATACGTGCAATATCCCCTTTTACATAATTTATGTTCTCATAAATATACATTTGCACATTTGAATAATAATAAGAAGGGAAAAGGAAGAACGTGCTAATGAGATATGGTATAAAGATTAGGGAGAAGAAAAGGGTGGTAATCCTTAATAGCTCACCTATGTTTTAAGCAGAAATTTAGAGCACAATGAATTACAAAACCAGACTTTATAGATATAACATAAAACCTAGGATCGTAATTCTATATTATTAGAGCAATTTCAAAGAAATTACCATACCAATAAATTTTCTTAAATGACATATATCATGGTTATAAAACGACTCAATGTTTCTAGATAGTTTGATAAAAGTATAAAAAGTCATTTGTATTATAAAAATCTACAATTATCAGAACAAATTGTTTACAAATGGAAACAAATCTATTCATTTAATTCTGTTAATTTTTTATAAACAATCAAATTGATAACGGATAATTAAATATCTTAATTGCTCTATCAAATTTTAACGAAAGGATAGTCTTGCACAGAATGCAACCGATCAATATAATTCCAGATCTAATCGTCGGTTATGAAATCAGTTCGAGTCGTAAAATTTTACTATTCACCGTTATGGATATACAATATATTTGGAATATTCGGAAGTTAACAGTAATACATAGCGTTATTTCACGTTGAATTATACAAACTGGACACGATAAAGATCTGGTGTTACCTCATTGCGTAATTTCCGTCAGCTATTTCAAAGGATAATAAAATAGGATGAATGACGAACTAAAAGAATGGGAAAGAAATTCGTGCATTAAATGTAAATGTAACTAACGATATTACTTGTTTCTTATCGATAATGATTTGATGTTGTTTGATGACAGATATCAATTGGAATTGTATCGAGATTGATTTCACTTAAATTAAAGAGAATTTGATGTTGTTCGATGATAATGTCAATTGGAATTGTATTGAGATTGATTTCACGTGAATTGATAAGATGGATATTGTTTGATATTGTTTGATGACAGAAATCAATTGGAAGTCTATATTTAACTCTTTCTTTCACGATATATATGATTATGATTATACACTTAAATATTATTTAAGAAGGATTTCTTATATTAATATTTACTGTAAATTGTCTTATTCAGATATTTTTGTTTTTATACAGTTAATTATTTCATTACCTCTGGCGTTTTTAAAACATACTGGCCTCAAGCAATGTTTTTGTAAGTAATAAAAATGAAATTAAAATGAATAAAAACTTGAATGCACCGTAAAAACCAGAATTCATAAATGTAAAGGTAGACTTTTTAATTGCCAGACTGACATAACAATTATACTAACAAGTAAATAGACATGTTATACTTTCCAAGCATACTTCAATACACGTACTTTTTCAACGTCAACAAATTTTTAATTAACTCTTTACTACTCTTGGTTCCATTTTTATTCAACTTAAATTTTTTCTTCTGACATTCCAGATTTTGAAAAAAATTTCTGAAAAAATTTCGATTTATTTATTAATATCTTTTCTTCATTATCTCAATAAACTTATCAAATTAATTTATAGAAAGTTTCCTTAGGAACAATAAAATATAATCAAATATAAAATTTCAAATTTAAATTGGAAGTCTATGATTGTCCAACTAACAACTAATAGCAAAGCTGTTGAGTAATGAAATTACCAGAATAGAAATATAGGTACGAGTAGTAAAATTAGCGAAGTGGGTATTTGAGTGTTGATCAAAGTTAAAAACAGCAAAACTAGCAGAGTTTAAAACTTCAGAGCAGTGCTGATCAATTGAATAATGAAACTAACGGAGTTAAATCTTCAATTTAAAATCAGAGCCACAAACACAAAGTTAACGAAGTTCGAAAATTCGAAAAATTTTACTTTCTATTAGACATTGTTCGTTACCCGAACTTGCCCGAACTTGCTCGATGTTGCCCGATATTGCCCGAATTTTGCCGCTCGACTATTGGTCGCTTTATCAGTGCAGCCAACTGTTGAACAATACTGCTCTGCACAAAAATAAAGAGAAAGAAACGTGTTACCTGTTCTGGAGGGTGGAAGCAGCAACCCCTGAACTTCTTCCAAGGGCATCGCCTGTCCGTGATGATCTCGGTAAGGACGATGAGGTCGATCCTTCATACCTCCTCTCGAACGCCCAAATGGCGTTCGTCTTTGCCAGTTTCCGCGTCGAGAAAGAACGATAACGTTGGTTAACGGAGGCAAGGATCAGGGCCAATTTCAGGATCGGGTCCGGGAGATAGGGTGAGTCCTGAGGGACTCGTGGCGATGACGAACGACGGTGGTAGAGCGTCATCGCCCCGCCGTCGTCCCTAAGACCATGCCCAGCTCACAAAGAATCTCGAGACGAACAGTTTGTATCGGGATACTTCTAGTTCGGATCTTCTTTGATTCTGAAATAATACAAGAGTTAATTAATTAAAAATAAACGATGAAATGGGATAAATCTTGGGCCACACAAATCTGAATAAAAAATATTATTTAAATGATAACTATAGAAATGATAAACGTTCAAAAATTTAAATTATCGTGAAATTTCATATCTTTAATTGCTACATAATTATGAGCATAACATTTTATGAATAATGCATAAATTTATAAATCATGAACCTTAATTATACTTTGATTAATATTTAATTGTATATGAATATTTATAATAATTATCTTCCATATAAATTGTACACATCGGTTTTAATCACTTTCGAAATTTTATAATCTGTTCATACAATAAATTATAATTTTATGAAAGAAATATTACGGAAAAAATTATTTATTCGTTTCTCTTCAAAATCGAGTTGTTAAGAATATTATAATATTAATTAATAATCGATGAAATTGATTGATAAATCGATATTTTTTCTAAGCAATATCGTTATATATTAAATTTCGATAACATCTATTCGATTAATAAATGACACAAAATTATTTAAAATTCCAATTATAAAATAAAATTTTTTAACGCTACAATTTCATACGTCTCTCAAGTGTTTCAAAGCACAATTTCCAGAACTATCTAAAAACGCTACAAGTCGTTTTTACCATTGAACTAATTTAGGTCACCTATTGATTACCACTGTAAAAAAGTCTTATAGATAGAACTGGGTATAGTCATCAAAGTACTGATAACATTCCTTTCAAAACTTATCATTAACATTATAAACTTGTAGAACAATTTTTCTATTATTAACTAAGTGAAGGCTAAATGTAACAATGTACTCTTTTGTAAAAAAAACTTTATTGTTTTAATGAATAAGAATTAAAACTACTGGAATGAAATATTCACGTGAAAAATGAGTTTTCGTTTATCGTTTTAACAATTTTTTTTAAGAACATATAATATAAATATACATACACTTGTGAATTTAAAATTGAAGAATTTAAAATTGTTTTCTTTTTTTTTTTTTTTTTTCATTAT